ATTGTATTCATAGTTTGCTACTATGACTGCAATCAATTTTCATCTACCCAAAGAAACCATATACCCTTCAGCATTCATGCTGCATTTGCCCCTAATCCCCCAGCCCCTGGCAACCACATCTACTTTCTGTCTCTATAGACTTCTCTATTTTGGACATTTTATATAAGTGGAATAATACAGGATGTGGTATTTTGTAACTGACTCCTCTCAGCACAATGTTTACTAGGTGCATATATGTTGTTTATAAATTTCCGAAATTTCCTTCTGTTACCGATATCTGTATTCATTCCATTATGGTTGGATAGCTGCTTTGTATGATTTTAACCTTTTAAAATTTATTAAGGTTTGTTTTATGGCCTAGCATCTGGTTTGTCATAGAGGATATTTTGTGGACACTTGAGACATGAAATAAAAAGATGCTTGCTCCTTGCAAGAAAAACTATAACCAACCTAGACAGCATATTAAAAAGCAGAGACATCACTTTGCCAACAAAGGTCCGTCTAGTCAAAGCTATGGTTTTTCCAGTAGTCATTTATGGATGTGAGAGTTGGACTATAAAGAAAGCTGAGTGCTGAAGAATTGATGCTGTGGTGTTGGAGAAGACTCTTGAGAGTCCCTTGGACTCCAACCAGTCCATCCTAAAGGAAATCAGTCCTGAATATTCATTGGAAGGACTGATGCTGAAGCTGAAACTCCAATACTTTGGCCACCTGATACAAAGAACTGACTCATTGGAAAAGACCCTGATCCTGGGAAAGATTGAAGGCGGGAGGAGAAGGGGATGACAGAGGATGAGATTGTTGGATGGCATCACTGACTTAATGGACATGAGTATGAGCAAGCTCTGGGAGTTGATGATGGACAGGGAAGCCTGGCGTCCTGCAGTCCATGCAGTTGCAAAAAGTTGGACATGACTGAGCAACTGAACTGAGAAGAATGTGCATTCTGCAATTTGATGAAATGTAGTTATTAGATTTAGTTGGGTTACAATATTCAAATCTATTTCTTTTTGTTCTTCTCTCTTGAATATAGTATTCTTGCTTGACAGTTTTTTTCTTTTAGTACTTTGAAAATCTTATCCTACTACTCTTAAACATCTGTTGTTCCTGATGAGAAGTCAACCGTTAAACTATTGGAGTTGTACATTTGAGTATTTTTCTCTTGCTACTTTCAAGATTTTCTCTTTGGTGTTGACTTTTAGCTCTTTTGCCTATGTGTCTATGTGTGGATCTTTCTGCATTTATCCTACTTCAAATTTGTCTGTCTTACTGAATATATAGTTTAATGTTTTTTCTTTTTTTAAAAAAACTAAAATTTCAGCCCCATTATTTTTCTTATATTTTTTCCTCCTTTCTTGCCTTCCTTTCTGAAATCCCACTACAATATTTTGGGGTACTTAATTGTGTTGGAGAAGACTCTTGAGAGTCCCTTGTACTGCAGGGAGATCAAACCAGTCAATCCTAAAGGAAATCAGTCCTGAATATTCATTGGAAGGACTTACGCTGAAGCTGAAGCTCCAATACTTTGGCCACCTGATGCAAAGAGCCGACTCAATGCAAAAGACCCTGATGCTGGGAGAGATTGAAGGCAGGAGGAAAAGGGGACCACAGAGAACGAGATGGTTACATCGCATCACTGACTCGATAGACATGAGTTTGAACAAGCTCCGGGAGATGGTGAAGGAGGACAGGGAAGCCTGGGGTGCTGCAGTCTAGAGTGGCAAAGAGTCAGACATGACTGATCGACTCAACAGCAACAAATTGTGTACCATGTATCTTTAAGGCTGTGTTAATTTTTTGAAAAATATTTTTGTCTTTTGGACTGCTTAGTATCTCTTGAGTTCTCTTAAATTTTGCTGATTCTTTCTTCTGCAAATTAAAATATACTATTGAGCCCTTCTTAACTTATATGCAAAGTACATCATGAGAAACGCTGGGCGGGAAGAAGCACAAGCTGGAATCAAGATTGCCGGGAGAAATATCAATAATCTCACATATGCAGATGACACCACCCTTATGGCAGAAAGTGAAGAGGAACTAAAGAGCCTGTTGATGAAAGTGAAGGAGAGTGAAAAAGTTGGCTTAAAGCTCAACATTCAGAAAACTAGGATCATGGCATCCGGTCCCATCACTTCATGGGAAATAGATGGAGAAACAGTGGAAACAGTGTCAGACTTTATTTTTTTGGACTCCAAAATCACTGCAGATGGTGATTGCAGCCCTGAAATTAAAGAACACTTACTCCTTGGAAGGAAAGTTATGACCAACCTGGATAGCATATGAAAAAGCAGAGACATTACTTTGCCAACAAAGGTCTATCTAGTCAAGGCTATGGTTTTTCCAGTAGTCATGTATGATGTGAGAGTTGGACGGTGAAGAAAACTGAGTGCCAAAGAATTGATGGTTATGAACTGTGGTGTTGGAGAAGACTCTTGAGAGTCCCATGGACTGCAAGAAGATCCAACCAGTCCCTCCTAAAGGAGATCAGTCCTGGGTTATTCATTGGAAGGACTGATGTTGAAGCTGAAACTCCAATACTTTGGCTCCCTCATGCAAAGAGTTGACTCATTGGAAAAGACCCTAGTGCTGGGAAGGATTGGGAGCAGGAGGAGAAGGGGATGACAGAGGATGAGATGGCTGGATGGCATCACCGACTCGATGGACGTGGGTTTAGGTAGACTCCAGGAGTTGGTGATGGACAGGGAGGTCAGGCGTGCTGTGATTCATGGGGTTGCAAAGAGTCGGACACGACTGAGTGACTGAACTGGCTGATTGAGCCCTTCTAGTAAATTTTTTATTTCAGTTATTATAGCTTATTATCTCCATAATTTAAAAAATAATTTATATCTCTTTATGAGTATTCTCTGTTTGGTAAGATATTGTTACCATACTGTCCTTATAATGCTCCTTTGAAGTTTTTATTCAATGTTACACTTGAAACCTCTGAAAGGCAATATCTGTTACCTGCTTTTGTTCTTGCCAGGACCATATAATCCTGTTTCTTTGAATGTCTTGTAATTTTCCTTTAATGGAAAATGGAACATTTCAGATGATATAGCCATTCTGGGTTCTAATTTCCCTCTACCCCGTCCCAGAGTGGGGGGCTGGTTGTTGTTAGCCTGTTTGTTCAGTGACTTGGTGGACTACTTTAGGTACCTTTGTTTAGCACTCACACAGGGTGAAGCCGTGGGCATGTGCACATTAACTCTGGTATGACAGTGCTTTTAGTGGGACTCTGTTTGCCTTCTCTTTGGATTTCTTTGTTAAATGGTCCACCTCTGTTGGTATCACACCCAGTTCTTAGTCTCTTTGATTGCTAGTTGATTGCTCTGTTGTTTTAGGCAGTGCCTTGGGATATATTAATAAATGGCTCCCCAGTGTGACTCAGTTAAATTTGGGCCCCTTTGCAAGAGTAGTTTTTAGGTGAGTCTTTGAGATTTCTTGTGGCCATACAGGAGCCATTAGCTATTCTTTCTGGTAAACTGCCTTGTGATTTAGTTTATTGCTCTCAGGAAGCTACCTACTTCCTCTTAATTGTTTGGCACTGAAATCTTTATTGTTTTTGAGATTACCCTTAGACTTGAACTTCCCATGTATTAATTTAAATGAAGTCAGTTCTTCTCTTTGTGTGGCCTCTTTCTCTGGGAAAAACCTCTGCCACAGCTCCAGATCTAGGGGTAGTTACAGTGGCCTGCATTTCTCGGAGCCACACTCCTGCTTTATGAGCAGGGCCCTGGTATAGGCGGTAACCTCTGACCTCAGTTTGCTTCTCCTGGTTTGCTAACTCTAAGCTGTGGGTGAGCTGAGAAATAGTGATCAGGATCCTGTTGTTACAGGCGTGTTGCTCTTGAGATAGAGCCTTTCTTCTGTTGGTGAGTATGGGGGAAGCAAGGAGCTCCTGACTTCCCAGCTGCACTTTGTGGCCTTTAGTTGCTGCATAGCTGGTAGACTGGGGAGAGGGGATTAGAAATGGCAATATCCTGCCTTTCTTTGGGAGATACCTCAGTGTCACCTAGAGGGGAGGGGGAGGGACAGCCCTCTGTTCCTGGCTGTACTCACCTGGGGTAGAATTTATGCCTGCTGAACTGGGAGCTGGAGGAGGGAGACAGACTGCACTTCAAATGCCACAGACCCTCGCCATTCTTACCAAGTTTTAGTAGGTTTTTTTCAATAACAATTTCTTCATTTGCTCTTTAAGAATTTCTGGAGATTTCAAAGGATTCTTATTTTTACTAATTTTTATCAGTTATACTGTTCTACTAGGGAGTTGATCTGCAGAGGTCCTCGTGCATTCATTCTGGAAGAGTCCTAGTGGTCATGTTTTAAAGCCTTGCTTAAGACAGGCCTTTTAAATTAATTATTTCTTCAGTTATTCAGGTGCTGCTTTACACATGTGTTTAAAAACATTTTGTATTCTCTTTTATACCTCAAAGTCACAATAAAATGTAGACTCCATCTTTGGATAAATTCACATGTAAGCCCAACACTCAGAAGAACTGAATTCTGATTCAATCCCTTCCACATATTAATTGTGAGATCTTGAGTAGGTTACTTAATCACCCTGAATTTATTTCCTCATCCAAAATTTTGAGATAACAGTACCTATTTTTATATTAAATAATACATGTGAAAGCAATTGATAAAACTCTAAAAACTTAGTGGAGATTATTATTACTAGTTTAAATCAAATCTGTAATGAAGTGCCTGCCTCTTTTCATTCTCATTTAAGAATACTATTTATAAAATTTATCTTAAAGTCAATTGTTATGTTTTTGAACTCCTTTATGTTATCATAAATAAATATTTGTATAAAGTGAACTGGAATATCACCTAGTAAATGGTTTCTTTAGATAAGTTTGTTGTGGAATTACAGTAGTAGAAGGGGAAAACAACATTTTTAATATACATCATTGGAGTATGTGTGTGGGATCTTAAAATAAAATTTGATTTTTTAAAATCGCAGAATATTTATGCTTATATTTTGTCTATGCTATCTTCAGAGTATCCTGGCTTTAAATCCTCGAACACAGTCTCATGCAACTCTGCGTTCCACTTTGGCCAAGAAATTAGACAAGAAACATTGGAAAAGAAATCCTGATAAGAACTGCTTTGTAAGTACCACTGATACATGGTTTCATGCTGAAAATTATCTCATTCTACACTGTAAGACATGATTTTATATATACTTAGAAATATAATTCAATATGTGTAAAATACAGCAGTAGTTTTTTCATATTTAGATATTTCATATTTGAATCATCTCAAAAATGTGATTCATTTTGCTCCTTAAAAAATCTTTTGAAATAGTTTAAAATCATATAAATTTAGTTTGTGCCAGATTTTATTTTTTGAAAATGTATAAAAATGTATTAAAATAATTTTATAATAACACAATGATATAGAAGAGTTTCCAAATTTCAGATGTAATTCAACTGAAGAAGGGTATACTAGTATATACAAACTGTTGTTAAATATTCTTTTGGGGAACATATAAAAATTAAGTGTTCAATATGATCATCTTATATTTCCAGATGAGGTGCAGGTGCAAAAATCTGTGATTACTGACTCCTAGAATATTATTTAATTAGATCCATGAAATCATTATAGGGCTGGGATTATTAGGCTATAAATGGGGATTAAGTAAGTACAACTTTGAAGGCAATATTTAAAAAGTCATTTTATGAGATATAAATATTTGTTAGGAAAACAACGTCCTTTTCACCTGATTTCCCAAAGTTAATTTCTCCAAGGGCTTCTCTGGTGGCTCAGGTGGTGAAAGAGTCCACCTGCAGTGCAGGAGACCTGGGTTCAATCCCTGGGTTGAGAAGATCCTCTGGAGAAGGAAATGGCAACCCACTCCAGTATTCTTGCCTGGAGAATTCCGTGGACAAATGAGCCTGGTGGGCTACAGTTCATGGGGTTGCAAAGAGTTGGAAAAAAATTAATTCCTTCAAAATTAATTTTCTCCAAGTGATTAGTGAGTCAATTAATAAGTATGAACTTATTTAACATTAGCTCTTATGATATTTTGTGTATATGTTCTTTTTAGTACAATGATTTTAGTTTATTTTTATGTACTTCTTAACTACATATAAACTCTCTTAGGATAGGAATTGAGGGTATTTGTACATGTGCATTTGTATTTATCTGATTTTTAATTTTTCTGTCACTGGCCAACCAGCGAAGTTTTTTGAATTAAAAAAGAGAGATAGAAATACAGGGAAACAACATGATTTGCGATGATGACACAGCCACTTACTAGCAGATTTGGATTTGTAATTCAGTTTTCCTTGCTCCAGTTCTATGAGCTTTGCATTCTACCATGACATTTCTTAAAGAGGTCAATGGAAGGACACTAGTGTGGTCCAAATTAGATCAAGGAATGAATCAACTATCAGTTGTGATCCTGTATAATGGTATAAATAATTGAAGGACACTGAAAAAAGAATCATATAATTTTCAAACTTAGAAATCCTTTAATGATTATCAAGTCTCTCTCTTTAAATGTGTGAGAACTATGATCCAGATAAATTAAACTCTCTAGGGTTTCCCCTTTATAGATTATTAAACTGTTTATTTAGAAGGGGAGACATTCACCATTATTACTATTGTTGTTGTTATAATTATTTTATGAAAAATTAGCATTTTCATTCCATAATGTTAGCTTATAAATTGAGTGTCTCATATTTTCTTTTTTTTTTTGGTAATTGACAAAGATACAATGAAATAGGTTTTCTGCATTAAATATATATTGGCACAGATTTCTAGGAATGCAGTTTGATAGTATCTTTGTCAGTATCTTTGACAATATTTGTTAATACTTATGTTAGTTTTCTAGGGCTGTCACAGGCTGGGTGGCCTGAAGAACAGTTTATTTTCTCAGTGTTCTAGAAGCTAGGAATCTGAGATCAAGGTGTCAGCATGGTTGATTTCTTCTGAGGCATTTCTCTTGATGATAGGTGGCTGCCTTTTCACTCTCTTCTCATGGTTTTCCCCCTGTACATGTCCAAATATCCTCTTATAATGACACCAATATATCAGATAAGAGCCATTCTGTTGACCTCATTTTAATTTAATTACCTCTTTTAAGACTGTCTCCAAATACAGTTACATTCTGAGATACTGGGGTTTAGGCCTTTGATAAATGAATTTGAGGGGATTCAGTCCATAAGAATACCTTTAAATTATCAAACACTTAAACCTAGTAATTCGTCTTCTAGTAAACTATCATAAGGAGCAAATAAGGAATGTAGGTAAATGATTAAATAGAAAGAAAATTATCCCAATACTGTTTATTTGTAGAGAAAAATGTGGGTGGGAAAATGTGGGTATAGCTAAGTAACTTAGGGCAGATCTATTCTGTAGTAAATTGTGCAACCATTAAATTACTATTTTAAATAAAATTACTTTTGAAGTAATTAATAATCTGAAAAAGACTTATAATTTATATTATTAATTTATGGACAAGGTACAGAACAACTCTATATTTCAGAATGGTTGTATATAGTTTTACAGAACCACACCTATACACATATTCATACAGAAAAAAATAAAATGTTAATAGTAATTGTATTTGTTTTCTTAGCACTTTTGTATATTTCAGATTTGCTATAATGAGTAAATGTTAGAGGAAAAATGAAGTTTTAAAGATATGTTAGTATTATCTCAATTATAAGATCAGATTTATTGTTCTGGATATATACTTGAAAACTCTATGTATTAACTGTATATACTGTATTAATAAAGAACAGTGAAATATGTTTCCAAGAGGGAATATGGAATTAGAGTTGAAAGTTATCCTCAGTGATGTTAAAGAATGCTATTCTTCTCCTTTTCATTATTATTCTCTTTGTGCTTCCATGAAGAATTGAATAAAAGTATTACCACATGATATAATTTATTTTTTAATTTATTAATTTTCATACTTGAGTTTTATAATTACTCATCCAAATTAAAAAACATGCATAAAACACATATGAGAATATTTTCTAAGGTGTAGAGAAGACTAATTAACTAGGAATATGGAACCTGAAACATGACACAGTGATGAATTCCCTGGGTTTTCTTTTTTTCTGCATATATCTTGGAGCCTTGGAACCGAAGAAGTTGGAAAACCAGAAATGCTAACTGATATACACACACACACATATACACACCTCAACAAAAGTCTGCTCTTTCTAGACAAAATACTAAGAAACGAACAGTTTCTTTACTGATCATAGCAAGACGAAGACTTTTAGATAGTAACTACTATACTCTAGCTGAATAGAGCAACAACAAAAAAAATGTGAGCTCATCCCAATGTATTCATAAAGCCTGAGCAGGGAGCCTGGAATTCAGTCCTGTGATGAGATGATGAGACGGTCCAAGCCCTCTGCTTGGTGAACGAGAAGGGAGTCAGGACTTTCATGCTCACTAGCTACCTGGTAACCAAGGCAGCTCACATCCCAGACCACTGAATTTCTATCCTTATCAAGAAGAGAAGAAACAGGGTGAGGCTGAAAAATACCCCAAAGGGATATATCAGCTAAAAACTTACTAAATTTAGCAAGAGACACAAACCTACAGATTCAAAAACCTCTGTGAAACACGAGGGAATCCATATCAAGATGTATCGTAGTTAAATTTCTGAGAACTAAATACAAAGACAGTATCTCGAAAGAAGCCAGCCTGCTTGCCTTAAGGCGAGGACAGCTCCTGTCCTGTGGGCAGTTGTGCTCCAGATCCTTGCCCTGTGGCTCTTAGACTAGACACTATCACTGGCCCATCCTTGATCAGTGTTTCCTTGTCTACCCCGCTTCATCCCTCCTGTATTGTTATTTCCTGAAGAGCACCCAATCCATAAATCACATGTTTTAAATTCTGCTTTTAGGGAAAGTGAAAGTGAAAGTTGCTCAGCCGTGTCAGACTCTTTGAGACCCCATGGGCTGTACAGTCCATGGAATTCTCCAGGCCAGAATACTGGTGTGGGGTAGCCTTTCCCTTCTCCAGAGGATTTTCCCAACCCAGGGTTCGAACCCAGGTCTCCCACATTGCAGACGGACTCTTTACTAGCTGAGCCACAAGGGAAGCCCAAGAATACTGGAGTAGGTAGCCTATCTCTTCTCCAAGGAATCTTCCCGACCTGGGTATCAAACTGGGGTCTCCTGCATTGCAGGCAGAATCTTTACCAACTGAGCTACAAGGGAAGTCTTTGCTAACTGAGGAACCAAACCTTGCTGTTAAGTAGCAGCAGCACTTAACATAGGCAGTCACTTTCTCCTTCCTGCAATTTTTTTTTTCACTTCCCTTCCAAGACATCACACTCCTTTTTTCTTCTTTCCTCATTGGCGTCTTCTTCTCAGCTTCTTTGTTGGCTCTTCCTTATCTCCTCACCCCTAAATATCAGAGTGCCCAAGGTTCAGATCGTTCTGTTTCTTTTTAAAGACTCAGTAAGTTGTTGATCACATTCTCTCTCCTCAGTTTAAATACCATCAGTTTAAATAGACAGATGGTTCCTGCATTTATATCTCTTGCCTGGACTACTTTCTTTGATTCTAGACTTCTGTAACCAAGTGCCTAATGCATGCATGTGTGTGCTTAGTCGCTCAGTCATGTCTGACTCTTTGCAACCCCATGGACTGCAGTCTATAGACTCCTCTGTCCATGGGATTTCCCAGGCAAGAATACAGGAATGGGTTGTCGTTTCTTTCTCCAGGGGATCTTCCCAACCCCTGAGTCTAGTGATTACCTCCACTTAAATCCCTAACGGGCATTTCAGTGTTCACATGTTGAAAATCCAAATTACGGTCTTACATCCAAGATCTATTGTTCCTGGAGTCATCTCTATCCACCACTTTCTGAAAGCAAAATATTGAGTCCTCAGTTTTGTTATTTGTCTCACCTCCCATACTAAATTAGAAGATCTGTTTGGATATATATATCCTTCAGTTATATTAACAGCTAGAATCTGATTATTTCTCATCACTTCCACCACTTCCTGCCTTTCTAAACCATCGTCATTATTTTTCATCTGGATTATTTTAGTTGCTTTGTAATGGTTGCATGCTTATGCCCTTTCCTGGTAGAGTATCTTTCTAACAGATAAAGATACATCTATGACATCTGAGAA